ACTTTAATACTTTTGTATTTGTTTAGTTTAAAATTATATGTTTACACACTCAAAAAGGTATAAATGTTTAATAAATTTATTCATTTTTACAATGAACATGTATAGTTTAAAAGTAGATCATGTTATATTAATTATCAAAATACAATCATTAAAAATAACTGTATTATCATGTTATTATTTCACTACTCGATAACAGTTGTGATGTCATTTTTAAAATTGTGTTATTTATGTGTGTAGGAAGACATAATCAATTAAAAAGATAATATATATAAATAAAGTTATTTACATGTTATTATTGACAGTGAGTTATCGAAAAATAATCTTTTTTAATCTAGTTACACGGCGGAAATGGCCACACATATTTAAATATAAAAGATATATTCATTAAACAAAAATTATAAAAACAATCATTATCTTTGGTTTATGTTTACATCAAAAATTACATTTAAACATAATTGTTAATTATTTATTTATAATTTCATGTCTTGTCATATTGATAACTATGTGTGTGATTATCAAAAACTACATTTTTAATATGAAATACAATTGTTTAATATGAATAATTTAAAGAAATACAATTATTTTTTTGTTTACCAAATATTTTTTTTGTAATCACTTTTTTAACTTAAAAAATAATTAATTAATAAATTAATTAATTTTTTATATTTATAATTATTTGACACGCATTTCAAACCTTTTTTTACAAGTTCTTAATTATTTTAGGTATGTTTTTGACTTTAAATAATTATTGTCAGCCCAAGTATTTTGATAGAGCTTCAAGGTCACCTTAAAAATATACAATATTTAGTTAAAAAATAAAAATTATTAAAAAAACAAATAAAGAGCACCAGAAAACTGTCGTACATCAGAAAATAGTCGTACACATTGTTTTAAGGTTTTTTTCTGTATAAAGTCGGGTTTTTATTTTTTCAAAACCCAATTTTTTTCCTGATTGTTTAGTCAAATTTTATATGTGAAAAAATATACCCAATTTTTTGGTTTGTTTGATACTAAAAACACAAGTGTACGACAATTTTCTTGCTGTACGACTATTTTCTGTTGGTCTTTATTGAATTTGCTTTTAACCATATTGATAGTGAAAAAATTATTTAGCAATTATAACAATATCTATGTATTTTTTCTTGCTTTTTTACTCAAATAAATAAAAAAATACATATAAAATTATGTGGTTTTGAATTTAATTTCATATTTTAAATAATTTTTATTGAAATTAAAATCATTTATGATAGTTTGTTTAATTATATTTTTGATTAGAAAAAAAATCATTATGTATGAGGTAATAATGTTTTTGAATGAAATTATATAAAATTCAATATAAAAACAAAAAACTCTATTAACATACAATGGAAAACGAGTTGACAACACTCTCGACACTCTGCACTAACGCAGCAAAGGCGGTGTCAGACCTAAACAAAAATAAAAAAGAATCCAACTTTGTTGACGACAAGTCACTCGACATTGACCAACGCATTGAAAATGCAGAGGGACACTTCGACAGACTTGATGAGGTATTTGATAGAAAGAAGAACATCACAACTTCACTTAATACGATCGTCACCGATTTGGACAACACATCCAACAAAATCAAAAGTGAAATAAGTCTATGTTCAATACAGAATGACAACGAGAAGTTGTATGAGATATTCAATATCAAAATAGAACTATATGAGGAAAAGTGTAAAATGGATATAAAACCATTTGAAGATGAAATCAACAAAATTAAACAAACAAAAAACAATAAAATTGATCAAATTATGAAATCGGAAAAATTCATCAATTCAAAAAAACAACACAACGAAGAAGAAGCCGAGAGAATAAAGCGCGAACACATCACACTTGGAGAAGAAGCTGGTCTTGAGAAGTTGACGGGTATGAAGATTGGAAATGTTGTGTTTGACTCAGACATAGACGACTGGTCAAAAGACACTTCTGTGTTTGATACAAAAGTTATTAACAAAAGCAACTTGTGCTTTGTGGTAGAAGACACAAATCATAATAAGTTTGGTGGCGTGTACACTGGAAATATAAATGCTGTTAACAAATGTATCAACAGTGGCAGTTCTTTCATTTTTTCACTTGTGAGAAGTGGCACTTTGAATCCAAAAAAGTTTGGTAAGAGTGGAAATGACACTGATTGTGAATTTGTTCTTGATTCTCAAAACAATTCATATTTATTTGGATTTGGTGGTGGTAATGATATATGTGTGTTCAAAAACAGTGAAAATAGTAGTTATTGCAGCCCATCCACTTACACCGCCAAACAGAACGAGTTGACTGATAACAACAAATTCACACCCAAGAGTGTTGTTGTCTTCCAACTGATTGGGTGGTCAAATAAATTGGATTTTAATATTTACTAATTGAATAATT